TGGGGGACAATGCACACCCCTCACTTTTTCAGATTAGTTTTGTCTGTAATAGTTATTTTTTAATATATTGCATCCACTTAAAGTGCAATGGGGCAACACACTAAAGGGGTAATAGCTCTGAAACAAAATGGGACAGCCATGTCCAATTGAGTGTGCTTTCATCAGTGGAGTCTGGGGGACAATGCACACCCCTTGGATTTTCAAGATCACTTTCTGTCTAGCAGTTGCAGGGTTGAAAAACATGCTTAACAATTAGGCACATCTGCAAATGTCAGCATGTACTTCCAAATATACAATTTTCCCTCATGATTTGTTTTTTCTTCTTTCAATTTTTATCATGTTTAGAAGTTGCTCTTCACTAGTAAAACAGCTCAGTGTATGACTAAATTTCAACATTTGAGAAGACATTTTTAATACATTATTTATATATATATATATATATATATATAATCACACACACACACACACACTGCCCAAAAAAATTAAAGGAACGCTTATTAATCAGAGTATAGCATCAAGTAAACTAAAATTCTTGGATATTCATCTGGTCAGTTAAGTAGCAGAGGGGGTTGTTAATCAGTTTGGTGTTAATGAAATTAAGAACAGGTGCACTAGAGGGGCAACAATGAGACGACCCCCAAAACAGGAATGGCTTACCAGGTGGGGGCCACTGACATTTTTCCCTCCTCAACTTTTCTGACTGTTTTTTCACTAGTTTTGCATTTGGCTACAGTCAGTGTCACTACTGGAAGCATGAAGCAATACCTGGACCCTACAGAGGTTGCACAGTTAGGCCAACTCCTCCAGGATGGCACATAAATACATGCCATTGCCAGAAGGTTTGCTGTGTCCCCCAGCACAGTCTCAAGGGCATGGAGGAGATTCCAGGAGACAGGCAGTTACTCTAGGAGAGCTGGACAGGGCCATAGAAGGTCCTTAACCCATCAGCAGGACCAGTATCTGTTCCTTTGTTCAAGGAGGAATAGGATGAGCACTGCCAGAGCCCTACAAAATGACCTCCAGCAGGCCACTGGTGTGAATGTCTCTGGCCAAACAATCAGAAACAGACTTCATGAGGGTGGCCTGAGGGCCCGACGTTCTCTGGTGAGCCCTGTGCTCACTGCCCGGCACCATGGAGCTCGATTGGCATTTGCCATAGAATACCAGAATTGGCAGGTCCAACACTGGCACCCTGTGCTTTTCACAGATGAGAGCAGATTCACTCTGAGCACATGTGACAGACGTGAAAGGGTCTGGAGTAGCCGTGGAGAACGTTATGCTGCCTGTAACATTGTTCAGCAAGACCATTTTGGTGGTGGGTCAGTGATGGTCTGGGGTGGCATATCCATGGAGGGACGCTCAGACCTCTACAGGCTAGACAACGGCACCTTGACTGCCATTAGATATCGGGATGAAATCCTTGGACCCATCGTCAGACCCTACGCTGGTGCAGTGGGTCCTGGGTTCAACCTGGTGCACGACGATGCCCAGCTTAATGTGGCGAGAGTATGCAGGCAGTTCCTGGAGGATGAAGGAATTGATACCAATGACTGGCCCCCATGCTCACCTGACCTAAATCCAATAGGACACCTCTGGGACATTATGTTTCGGTCCTTCCAGTCTGCACCTGAGACTGTCCAGGAGCTCAGTGATGCCCTGGTCCATCTTATTATTGTTATACTTATAATAATAATAATAATAATAATAATAATAACAATTAAAAGGGATAAATACTTTTACTTATCCAATATTTGTTTCTCATAGTCCAGGCTATATTCCTATTGATATTTTCAATGTTCCAAATGAACTCAGACCACAAAGTGGCAATGTTATGCATCAGGATTCGGGTGTATTTATTATTCCACTTTTAATCTTTTGTTAATAACATTTATTGTGACATCTTTTCAAGATGTTGGCATCCTGTCAGGTGTGCTGCAATCTTGCAGTAGTTTAAGAAGACCTAAAAAAATTGTGTTAAAAACAAAAGTACTCTCAAGGAGAAATTGGAACACTAAATATAGTTAAAAAATCAGACTATGTGACCAAATGCCCCTCTCAATTGATCAGCAGGGGAGATTAATAGAATGTTTTTAGAATGAATTTACTCTTTTGTGTAAAAAAAGTATTAATTTTTAAATTTGATGTGTTCATTATTCCAAGTTAATTTTTATAAGGAGAGTAATTATTTTTGTATATAAGAAGCCAGAATTCAAATGGTGGCTTAATTATTGTTTTCTTTTTTGTTCAATGGACAAATGCTTAATGCTAATGTATTACAATACATTAGCATACAATGTATTAAT